GTTTTTGTTTTTTTTGGAAACTACATTCCAGTTGGGTACCTGGTAGAAGCAGAATGAAAATCTTCCCCATAATATGAAAGCTGCTCGTGACACAATATGGTGGAAGGCACAAAATGCTGCTGTCTTATAAGATCTAATCTCCATCCTGTATTTGTCCAAAACCAAACCAAACCTTGTAAAATAAACTGCACCAGTGGAATGGTTTGACTAAGACAATTTCCTCAGTTCCTAAGCATGCTGTCTTTAAGTCTTATGAGTTTATTCTAATAGCACAGTCTATGCATGTTTAGTCAGTAACAAGTCCCACTAAGTTTAATGGAACGTTCTGGTAAGCAAGTTCAACACCACTTTTCGGGCTGTCATGCAACTGAAGGACAGTTTCTTTATCCTAATATAGTCACAGCGTTTGTCTTTACTGTATCTCTTTGCTGAAACAACTCCACCTCCTGCACATCTGTACGTGGATCAGATGTGAAAAGCACAAATCCCCCGACTCCTGGTTTCATCCCCCACTTTGAGGAGGTTTTCCTTTAAGTTCCATTGAATAGAACTTGACCCATTTCCAGGGATCTGTTCGAAAATCCCATTAAAATAACTTCAAAAGTGCATTTGCCCGTAACAGTCGTTCCCAGTCTAAAGCCCCTCCTGATGTCTGAACTACAACTCCTGGCAACCCCAGCCAACAGGCCCAATGGTTAGGGATGATGAAAGTTGTAGACCAAAATACCGGACTGGCAGCAGATTGGGGAAGGCGGTTCTGTAATTGCATAGACTTTGGAAAATGTTTGGGTTAAATTAATCACTATATTTTAATAGATTAGAAAAGTAAATACTTAGGAGCTAAGGAGGCAAAAGCAATTATTAGTTGAGAGCTGAGAATGTTTTCTGCGGAGCCCCAGAACGCTTGGTGGCTTTTCTCCGTCGTACCTTGAACAATCGTTGGCATTAATCCCCCCTTTATCCGTAGTTCAAATGGTTTCGTCCACGTCATATGACTCCGTTTTTCCTCCTCCTCGTTTTGATCGCGCTTCTGTTGCCCCCTCGGATCACCTGATATATTTCCTTTTCCATTGGCTGCGGCCTTCAAGGCCAGACCAATCAGATTTGGCCGCTCGTGGCAGTGTTGCTGGGCGAAACAAAAACAAACATAAACGGGGAAAAGGCCAGCCGCGGCGGGGCTGAGGGGGGGGAGCGGTGGGGCAGGCCCGGGCCACCGCCTACGGTAACGCGACCCTCCCCCCGAAACGTGAGCTCGGGAGGGGGGTCGCCTTTTTGGCGAGAGTGAACTTTGCATGTGTGTGTGAGGGGTAGAGCATTCTCGGCCAAATGTCGCATTTGCTTTTGAGGGTTAATGCGAGTCTCCTTTTCACAGCGTTCGCTGGCCATGTGGTAGAGGCTGCCCGGACAAGGGACCGCTGTTTCTCCCCACGCCCGTGTTATTTGGGCTTTGTGCACCCGTCTCATGCCGTCACTGTTCGCATTAACCCTCAGACAAGCCGAACCTCTTCCCCGTCTCCCACAGGCTGCTCCGTGTGGCGTGAGCCCCCTTGCTGGCTTCCTAGGCCGTGGGGGAGACACACAGCTGTCCAAGGATATTTAACGAGCACTGCAACTCCTACTCTTGCGTTGCGTACCAAAGGCCGCACGTTCTTTGTTTCCTGCCACTTTCAGTCAACGAGCAGGTGGTGAGGAAAGACCTCTGCTGAAGACTTTAAAGGCACTGGCTTTAGTCAGAAAGTACTGGGCTAGCTGAACAAGTACTTCAGCTTGATTAAAAACAGATTTCTATATATTAAAGGGCACAGGCAGCTGTTCTTTAAGCAATATTGACTGTTAAACATCTGCTATGGCTACCCATCATTTACCTCAGGACTGGCCTTAGAAGGTCATCACTCCCTTTTCTCTCTCATTGCAACGTTCAAACTATGTTCCTGAAATTCAGAGTTTTTCAGAAGCATAGGGGCCTGAAGGTGTACTGATATGCATCGGGGACCTGCAGTCAGGCTTCTCTAGAAGAGATGGCCTTGCCCTTAATAAACAATTGTTAAGGGGAGCCTTGAGCAGGTGCTGTGGGCCAGCCACCCCCCCCCCCCCGGTCTGGTGCCCTGCAGTGGTGTTGGACTACAACATTTATTAGCTCTAGCTAGCACAGGCCTTGTGGACCATGGGAGTTTTAGTTCAACATGCCTGGGGAATGTCAGGTGGACATTAGCTGCACTAGGTTGTACACATATTTTGCATGGAGCAAAGGTGATAACTGTTAGGCCTGTGCAAAAAAAAAAGTACATGATACAACATGCCCTAAAATCTCCTTTAGCACTGAAAAGTTCAGTAGTGGAGAAGGCATTGTGGCATAGGTTCACTGCAATTCAAAACCCACTGTCTTAGATAGGAACATATCTTGTACTGAGTTGAATCAGATATGGTTACTGACTGGCAGCAGCTATCTAGGGTTTCAGGCAGAAACTTTCTTCAGCCATATTCAGAGATGCTGGGGATTCAACCTGGGAACTTATTCATGCAAAGCATGTGCTCTACCATAGGGCTGTGGGCCCCACCTTATATGTCAAAATAAGATTCTCTTAATTGTCAGCTTTTGTTTCCCATATGGTTTGTTCTCTGTTTTAATGCTTTATGGGTAGAGATCACATTGCAATGGGTTTTTGTGCAATATTCCCTTATCTGCATCATCCCAGCTCAGGTGCATTGAGGATCAACTGGGGATCAGTAAAAGGATTGGTACAATTCCCAGTGTGGCTATATGAAGTTTATAAACATTCTCTATGGAATCTTATTTTCCAAAGATACCACAAAGCACTGTTTCTTTGAAAACCCCTAATAAATGTGTAGTATATTTATATTGCTTGGTACCATGGATTAAGTTAATTGTCCATTCTGCATAAACAATGTGATAAGGTGAGCAGGGGCTTGTGATACCAAGAGCTCTTGGAATATTTCATTCCTATAGGATACTTCGTTTTGCAACAGAAGAGAATGATTTGAGGTATTCTGATTGATTTCAAGAACATGGTAAGAGAACTGCTAAATTTTAAGTGCTATCCACTTTTAGGATCGAAACCAAAATGCCTTTTAAGCCATGCTTTGCATGATATTCAAAGGTTGAAGAACAGATGTGAATTTAAAACTTGTTAAAATCCGCTAACCATACAACCACATCCTCCTTTGTTCTGTTTTCAGGTGTATGCTGATTCTAAGCAGAAGTATGGTATTAACTTCAGGCCTTCATGCCAATAGTCCAATTCCAGCTGTCAAACTTAGAGTCCTAGGAGCATTTGTGTAATGGCAACTTTGAACAGATCAGATGTTTGTCCAATTTTGCTGTTCTTTTAGCCTGGGGACTTTACTTGCCACAAAACATTTTGTGGGTTTTACATATTCTTAGATCAGTGGTTACCAGGCATTAACAGAAGTGACTGAGCTTATCTGTTGTTGAATTGTCTTTTGTTTCTGCTGGTTTACATTGGTTGCAGTTGATTTGTTCATGCTGCAGTTTATCACACATCAGAGCTGGTATGTAGGACTTGCAGTATGTTTGTAAGTGATAGTGTGGTTGAGTTTGAACTTCCCTTTTTTTGGAGCAGTGAGTTACTATAACAGTTGCGTAAGCAGTGCAGTAGTCAGAAGTTTTAAAGTGCTGGTAACATCAGCAACAAATCTCATGAATCTCACAACTATAGCACACACCTTAGCAGCCTGTGTACAATTGCCACGATTCATAATAGTGTGATTAGAACAGACTGAATAGTTGCATGAAGCACATAATTACTGCAGTGCTTTACTATGGAAATGACTCCTTCACTGGGTGTTAGCAGTAGCAAGCCCAACCTGTTCTGAGGCTGCTGCCTTTTTTGATATCCCAAGCAAGTAGGCTTTGTCCCTAGACTCATCCTAGGTGATAATAAACACTAGACCCAGGTCTACTAGTAAGAGAGCCCCTTTGAGAAGTTCATCCTTTTGGGTTGTTCATTTGCTAAACAGTATAGGATTTTAAGTGGACAACACTAATAATATTTTGCAGGGAAGTGGAGGACACAGGCACCATACCACTGGCCACTGTTTTTGTATTTACTGAAAGTTGGTCAGAGAGCTATCTATTGTGGTATGGCATACCAATGTCATTAGTAAATAAATGCATTTGGAAGTGTTCGTTCATTACTTTTCTGTACCTTCTAATATGGTATGCTTCTGGGCAGTTCACAACAATTAAAATAATAAAAAACAACTTGATAAAATGCCTATTTAAACTACAATATTAAATAAAACTTAGTAGCAATATAAATGTTTAAAATACAATAACAGATTGAAAACAAATGCTGCAAATGTGATCTGTCCAGATACAAATATACTTTTGGACATACAGTAGTTAATAATCCTAGGTTTGCCTTTAAGACTGCTTCATTTTTATGCATTGAAGAAAGCAGAATCACTGTCATTTCCTGACTACTTAGCTAACAAGTATCAAACCTTTTTGAAAACCAAATGTGCTGTTGTACAGAGGTTTGGATTTGTGGGCAACAGACACTGTTTTGTTTTGATGTGCCAACCACAGAAACGTTTTTCTAAGCAACTTTTCCTGCTATTGAAAAATTTACCAGTTATTTATCTGGAACCCTGTATATGTGTTAGTTTATCAATTGCTGTCCAACCTATATTTTGAGTTGCTAGATGTTGATATGCTAACATCATTGATATGTATGTATGTTGTAGAAAAGCAACTCTGCCAGAACTGTATGCCATACTGCTTGGTTTTGGATGGCACATACTGCTTTATTGGGCATATTCCACTGATTTGTAAATCAAATATAACATTGTTATATGGGGCAAAACACTGTGGGAATTTTTTGTGGTTGGGGTCAAAATGACTTGAAAAGCTAGGTCAGTATGTTTTATACAAAATTATTGTTGTGATGAAACAGGTTTGGTGGGCCACAAGGGGGGAAAACTATTTCATGTTTGTAAAAGGATTTTGTAAACCCTGTAGGGTACTGTTGAACCCTGATACTGTAAATTATTTGTCTATTATGAAAATAGGCAGTGTGTTTTTTCCTTCCTTTTGTGCTCTTTTTTGCATAGAGGCTCTAGATAGGACAAGTAGTTAAGAATCAGTATTTAAACATCATCTGTAAGGGGCACTTTGACCCTAGCATACATGAGTTTTAGTTTCAGTTATTCCAATAGGAGTGGAATTGATCTCCAAACCTTTATAAGTAAAATAATTACTTTTTCACCAAAGGCCCCACCTTCCAAACAGCCCATGAGGACTATCTAGAATGTGGAAGACTGACACTAATTTATGACCCCTTCCCATGTTAAGGAGCTGTATTTGCCATATATGTCGACAGGGAATTAAACATGGAACTGTCCCAGTTATGCAGAAGATGAGAAAATAAAAGCAAAGGGGGCACATAAATTAGAGAAGCAGAACCTCCTATGGTTTATGTTCTTACACTCTTTCTCTTACACTACACCAAGCAGGTTAGGTTACTTCTAGTTACTTCTAGTATAGGTTACTTCTAGTATAGGAGCTTAGCTGAAAGAAGCCATTCTCTAGAATGGTCCTAGGGACATAATATGCAGAGTGTTATTTGTTACTTTCTTCTCTGTTCCTTTCACTTTTCAATTTCCAACCTGTACTGATTATGCCATCTTGTCTAGTTCTGGTCATTTATTTTTGTCTTTCTGCAGAGTGATGAAACTTGTATGGTTTGCAGCACATGGATTTCTATATGCTTGTAGTGCAAGCACCACAGATTAAAACTGCATTATCTTTGTACTGAATCTGAGTAAATTGTTGCCAGTTTCAACTTCTGGTAGGCTCCTAACCTATATGGATCTTATGATTCATTATCCTATGGCCCCTAGTTAGTATCTGAAGGACATAGGATACTTTAGATTTTGAGATCAGAGCCAGCTGTTTGACCTTGCAGCTGGGAATCAGACCTCCAACCTTCCTGCTGCTGCTCACAGCAAGCACAGAATGTTATGTCAGATACATGCTGGGGTTGGGAAAGTGTTCTGGTGGATAGGAGAGGTGGTGGGAGACTGGAGCAGCCAGGATCTGAGCTATCCTGAGACCTCTCCAGCTTCCTTTTCTTTCCTTTTTGAAATGCTGTTACTAGACTAGTTAAAAAGCCCATTTAGTTGGACATGCAGGTCAGAAAGATGGTAAAGTGAAGAGTTTTGCTGTTTTATTTACCCTGCATAGGATTAGTTGAGGGACTTTTGACCACTGCAATAGGGTTGCATCCTAGTGTGAACTTTATTCTTTTAGTCCCAAATATATGTAGTTTTAATTTGTTCTGATTTGACATCTTTCACCCACTAATTTACTTTGTGCCAGAATTAAATGAAGAAATGAATACTTACTTCCTACATTGTGTTATGGTGCCAAAAGCTGCAAGTTCCTTAGTACCACAATCTAGTTTGCCATAGTTTTAAACTTTGATTACTGCAGATCATTGGGTGCTTTAAGGGAAAAAAATAAATGCTGTACGGAGGCCACTGAAAACTACAAGATGTATTGGCATACTCCGTATGGCTTTCTCCCAGGTGTGGTAAATTTAATGCTTATTTTTAAATTAAGCCTTAATGTAAGGCTCAAACCTTCCTTTATAAATATTGTATTTCCTTTTTGGATTTAAAGGAGAGTGGATGCATGTAATGGAATACTGGAAAGCTATTAACCTCACAAGTTAATCAGTCAGTTGGTCATCTTCTGCCTTTTGAGAGAGACCTTAGGGAGCTCTTCTAGCAACAGTAAAGTACTTCAGAACATTGCATAACTCCTAAATGATTGGCTGAGATAATACTGAAAAACTCTTTGCTATGAGGTATGATGTGAAAGACCTGATGTCATAATCTCACCACACAACAATGCTTGGTTTTTGCTTGACGAAAGGTAGGGGAGAAGGAAATACATGGGGCAGATACTTGGTGGAAACACTAAAGAGATTATTGAATACTAAATTAAATATAGTCAGGTACAATTTACTCTGATAAGTTTTCCATCTCATTTTTCCTCTGAAGGAAGTATTGTCACCATGCTTTCTCTAGTAAATGTGATTAGAAATAGGAATTTCACTGATGTTTTGTTTAAAGTAAAACTAGAAATGTAGTAGGTGGGAAGTAAACAGAGCAATAGGAATGCCTGCTTCAGCACAAAAGAATGAATAAAAGATCTTTTGGGGATTTGATCTGCATAGTATTTTGACAGTGCAGTTAGCAATATTGCACACATGCAAAAGCAAGGATCTTAACAAATTACCTAAGCAGAGTTGGTGTTAACCTTAGCAGAATTTTAATACAAATTTAGCAGCCTAAAACATTTCTGGGATATGTGTATTTTCATTGGTCTAGCTAAAAATCTGTCAAAGTTCTGAACCTGCTGGGTGGCCTTTGAACGTTTTTTTTCTGAATTTGGCTACAGGATAATAGTAACTAAAGTTACAGGGCTATTGGGATGGATGAAGTAAAGGATATGTTACCCAGCCTAAGCTTTAAAAAGATGGAGAATTAAAAATGAAATTATCCTTCGAAGCAAAGGAATATCTGGTTTAATCTAGCCAATTCCATTTTAAATAATACTAAATAGGCTTAGGGATTAATATTCTCCGGGTACTTTGCTATTATTTTTCCAAAGAAAATACAGTACTATATTATAGATTGAAATTTCTACAAGGTTCTGGACCTGAAATTGCACTAAAAGATTCTTCTCTCTGCCTCCGGTTATTTAGGTTGCAACAATAACAGTAAAGCATCGTTTACATTCACTTCAGTCAAAATACGTTGAACAGTTATGGAAATAGAACATGAGCAGACGGAGAACATCAGCTCTACAGGTAAGAAGTGTCTTACAAGTGACATGTTGCTACAGCAGTTTCAGCCCAACTTGTATGTTGAAGTTCACGTATGGGTTGTATAGAAAACATTTCCATGTAATAGGGACTCCATATGAAGGGAGCATAAAGCTTGAAGTTCCTTACCATGTGAATTGTTTTTATCAGGAGAATCTCCATGCTAGTACTGTATATTTCTGGTGGTGCCTAATGCTGTGATGGCCTCTTTGTATGATTAACCTGATATACTTGGTGAACAGGTTTCTAATATTAGAACTGCCGTTTGGTAACTTTTGTCTTGGAATCTTAGGTTGAGAACCAAATTAACAAGATGAGAACTGAGGAGTACAGAAGTTGTTGCTACAGCACTAACTGAATGCTGATTGAGAAAGGTGGAGAAAATAATTAACAGGGGCTGTAGCTAAAATCCAGGCTGCACCGAAGAGATTAGATTGCTGATCAAATGCTGATTCAAAATTAGACTGAATTGCTGCACACTATAGAAAAGAGGGTACAGGAGGTTACAATTTGTACAGGAAAACCTCCAGAGGATAGGGTGGAGAACCCAGCGATATTTTTCCTAGACTCTCATTAGATCCATACTACAGATGATGAAGCTTCATCAGAAGGGAGCCTTGAGAAAAGTTGTAGTTGGATCATCACTTCAGCAAAGGTGGGGTGCTGGGAGGACAGAACACCAGCTGTAAAAGAAAGGGTCTGATGAGGCTTAGACAGAACTGTGTTTTCCTGGAGTAGACTGATTTCAGTGAAATGAAACCCTGTGGACGAAGCCAAAGCTATCTGGACTTGTCATTCAACAAAAGTGATTTGAGAAGCAGAGTGATACTTTGCCATAAGGTGTCCAGGAACACTGTGTGCTTGAAGTCTGGGGTTCTTAAAGTGATTAAACAGAAGCTCCAAAGGAACAAAATACTCTGGGTCAATGGAGGCAATAAAACAAAAGAGAGAAGACTCAGGTATAGTCAACAGTAGTTTCAGATCTCCAAACAAACGATTGGGATGACATTGCTGAAACTATCAAGAATCCTGAAAAGATTAGCTCAGGATGGATGGCATCCAATCAGGATAGGAAGGTGATGAAAGCCCTTCCGAATACTGTTGAAACCACACATAATCTAGATTTGCATGCTGCTTGGAATCTTACTGGAATTTTCATCATGTATGAAACCTATGTCTACTTTCAAAAATAACTGCTTTCATTAATAGTTAAAAATTTCTGTATCTTTTTTGAGAATTGGATAATCTGAGTGATACCCCATTTTCTGGTGATGATGAAAATGCTGGAACTGAGGAAACAAAACCTGAGATCAATGGTAACTGGATCCCTGCAACATCAATTAATGAAGCTAAAGTCAATGCCAGAGCAAAGAGGAGGCTGAGAAAAAATTCTTCGAGAGACTCTGGGAGAGGAGACTCAGTGAGTGACAATGGAGAAACACTGAAAAGTGGAGTCACTGTGCCAACGAGTCCAAAGGGAAAGTATCTGGATAGGCGATCTCGTTCAGGAAAGGGAAGGGGCCTACCCAAGAAAGGTCTGTGGATTCTGATTTTTTTTTAGCAAACAGATTTAACCTATTAGGAAATTACTAAATTTGAATGGGTTCTCATTTTGCTTTTTCTGTTGGGATCCCCCCCCTCCCCAAATTTGGTAACTCTATTTGGTTTTATTTTATTTATTACTTATTACAAGCATTTATATCCCGTCGTTCTGCAGAAGCACTCAGGACAGCTTACATAATATACAATTCTGAAATACAATATTGCATTTATTGGATAGCGCTAAAAGGATAAAGAAGAGATCAGCAAAATAAGATCGTGCTTGTTCAGTCCTTTAGAATTTTGAAATAATCTCAATGTTCATAATTTTAATATGAATATTATATGACACAAATACTGAGAAACCTGATAATGACTTGTCATAGATGGCTTATACTGTTCTAATTGGAGTAATTAAGATATTTTACAATCTTCTGACCATAACAATACTGTTCAGTAACAGTTTTGCATTTTATTTTTTGTGAGACATGCACATTTGAGAAGTGGATTGCTTTGAGATGCTAGAATGAAATAAAGCAAAATTTGCCCCAGTAATTTTATTTTGGTTCTCATAAACACACAAAATCATGCAGTTGGAAGGGACCTAGAAGGTCATTGGGTCCAACCTGCTGCTTAATTCAGGAATCAGGTCTCCCATCCAGATTCTAACCAGGCCTGACTCTGCTTAGTTCCTAAGATTAGGCAGGATCACGCACTTTGCTGTTACACCTTTTTTTCCAGGTGGTGCAGGAGGTAAAGGTGTTTGGGGAACGCCTGGACAAGTGTACGATTTGGAGGAAGTAGATATTAAAGACCCCAACTATGATGATGATCAGGTAAGAACATATTTAGTTATGTGAGTGTTCCTCGCCTTGCGCAATCTTTTTAGCAGCTCTCCCACCTGAGTACATGACTTCTAAAGGAAATCAACCCTGACTGTTCTCTAGAAAGAAAGATACTGAAGCTGAAGCTCAAATAATTTGGCCACCTAATGAGAAGGAAGGACTCATTGAAAAAGACCCTGATGCTGGGAAGGATTGAAGGCAAAAGGAAAGGGGGATAGTAGAGAATGAGGTGGCTAAATGGAGTCACTGGCATGGTGGGTGTGGGGTTGGGATAGTGGAGGACAGGAGAGCCTGGCATGTTGTGGTCCATGGAGTGGTGGAGAGTTGGGCATGACTTTGCGACTGAACAAGAACACATGGATTGCTATATGATTATTGTACATGCATTTTTCTCAATTTTTCTTGAAGAACGTTTGCTTTAAGATTAGAAAAAGTCGTGTGTGTGATCTTCATAATACTGAGTTGCATTAAACAAGATATCCTATAGTGGTTCCTATTGTTTTATCCCTGCTGGTGTTCCCAGTCCAAGAATACCCAGACCATGGGGAGTGGGATGCTGAGTAGGAGGAATAACATGGCTGAGCTAAACTGAGGATGAACATCTTGTCTCTAAATATTTGGTATAGAAATTGGATTGCTTTTTTTGGTAAGCATAATGTGGAAAATGTAAATTTCTCAACCATGGAACTTTACAAACTGATTAAAGTTGTGACTTTTTTTGCTTTTGAATGAAATTGTAGCTGATTTTCCTCCTCTTCAAATATAGTGGCCACAATCTAGGTTGACTGTGTTTTGAGTGCCATTATTTAATTAGAAAATTCTGGAAAAAGGAAGAGCTAAGTACTTTTTGTTGAGTTTTGAAAATGGTATCCCAGCTTAAGATGTATGGGTAAAAGCCATTTATGATACAGAGAGGGAATTCACATTGTGTCAAGTCTGTCTTCATAGCTGATCTGTTGGAAAAACGAAGCAGAGAATCAAAATGTTCTTCATGATTCTCATTTTGCCCCTTCCTAATGCTTAGCTCCACTGCTAGCTAATTACTGCTTCTGCCCCTGCCTAGAGAATGCTAGCAAAATGCCTGTAGCTGTGCATTATCTTGCCGTTTGGACTACACAACATATTGTTAAATGCACAGTTTGCCTTTGTGTGTGTGTGTCTGTCATCCTTTTAAGGTAGGGAGGGGAATAAAATCAAGCGTACAATTGATAAAATGACATAACATAATACTCAAAGGCCTTTTCAGTAAGAGTGCCCATGTTCTGGAACATCGTTCCTCATACTGTTTGAGGGGCAAAATTACATGTTTTAAATGCCTCCTGAAGATGTACTTGTTCCCACAAGCTTTCTCTGGCTTCTAAGTGATGTTGCTTTGGTTTTTTTCTCTTCTCATTTATTATTGTTATAATTGTAATTATTTATTAACATGATATTTAAATTTATTTTAATAGCTTTATATGTAAACTGTTTAGAATATTTAGCAGTAAAAGTATTATTAATAAATACACGCTCATATCACTGGCTTGACAAACCACCTTTCCCACGGTAGTTTGGTGTCCGAATCTAGTTGTGTGTTTTTGTTAACTTTCTCCCAGAGGAAGAGGCAACAGTGGTGATAGTGTATTGAAGCTACTAGCTGAGAGAACAAAACTTTAGGGGGTTGGAGTAGCCAATTTTTGCTATTTTTCTTGTCTGATACTTTGGTTGTGCATGTAGATTTGTAGCATAGCTAAAGAACATGCCACGAGCTCTTCCTTCATATTATGCTTGTCTACAGTGGAACTGCAATTTTTCACCAGTGAAGGTAGAAGCATTACAGGTAGAAACTTACTGCCACTTTTAAAGAATAATGATTGGAAAGCCTGTTTAATGGAACAATATCAATTTCTCCAATATAATTTTATGCCTTATTTAATCTGTTATACCTTTGTTTAAAACAGGATAACTGTGTCTATGAAACTGTAGTTCTGCCTTTGGATGAAAGAGCATTTGAAAAAACACTGACTCCAATAATCCAGGAATATTTTGAACACGGTGATACTAATGAAGTTGGGGTATGTCACATGGCTTGCATTTCAGAACTAATGATGAGATGAAGAATACTTTTTTTGGAGAAAGGGCTACTTGGGCTTAGATTATCTTAATTTCAACTTTTGCAATAATTACTATTTAATTTATTTGTACTATTTCTATGCTGTTAAATATCAAAAAGAATCCTTAAGTGGTTCACTACTACAGGTATTCATATAGGATTTTATTATATTGGTATGGGGAGTGCAGGTAGGTTAAAATGGCATTGTTTGGTTGGATAGAGGCATCTTATTTAAATTGGACACCTGTTCCGTGCCACATGAAAGTTCCAAAGAATTCTAAGCAGAATTTTTAAAATTTTAAAAAACCATTGGTTTGGTCCAGATTTACATTGGATCAGCTGCATTGGTGGAAGTAGATTTCCCTACCTCCTCCTTCCCATAACAGCCCCTCTAATTCTTGAAAATGCAATGCAGAGTTCTAAGATGCACTGAATGATGTGAGCTCTGGTTTGTGGGAGGGCGGTGATCCCTAAAATCAGGTGGAAGGATGTTCTGTGAATGGAGTTCTTCCACTGAAGTTTATTTTAGAGTCAGTGTTGAGTGATTAAGCATACTGGATTGGAACTCAGGTGATCTGGATTCTAGTCCCTGCTCAGCCATGGAGGCAGCTTTGGGCCAGTCACAGACTTTAGCCAACCTACCTCACAGGGTTGCTGTTGTGGGGAAAAAAGTGAAAGCAGAAGGATAATGATGTAGGCTGCTTTGGGGGGTTTTTTTAAAGGAGAGAGAAAAAGGTAGAAAATAATATTGCAGAAGGAAGGCCTGGATCCAAACACTAATGACCAAGGAAGCAACTTGACTTAAGGTAAACAGACTAGGTAGGGATTTTAAGAGTACTGACCTTCCCTGTGTATCTATTCCCCATCTCTGTTGTATAGGAAGTCCAGGCCACAATACTTAAATTTTATTTTACTTTTCCCACTTTCAGGAGATGCTGAAAGATCTCAATCTTGGTGAAATGAAATACAGTGTACCAGCGCTAGCTGTCTCATTGGCATTAGAGGGAAAGGCCAGTCATAGAGAGATGACTTCTAAACTCCTTGCTGACTTGTGTGGGACTGTAGTCGGCAGACATGATGTGGAAAAGTCATTTGACAGACTTCTTAAAGACCTACCAGAATTGGTACTGGACACTCCCAGAGCACCACAGGTTGTTTGAAAATACATTACTAATAGTTGTTTCTATGGTAATCTTGCTCACACTTAAAGTATTTAATAACATAAATGTGCAGTAAAACCTTTATCTAAATTTTAAAGAGGATGCCACCATTCAGGTTTAAAATGATGAGCGGGTCAACCCTATGGCTGTCAGGTGGTGTCTAGACAGCCATAAGATTTTTCAGATTACCAGCTAAGAGGGTGGTGAATGGTTCTGACCTTGTAGCTGAGGATCTCTGCACAGAGCCTGTCCCCCTGAAGGAAGAACCATACCAGCTGTTTTTTCAAGGTCATAGGAGTGACCTCAGAGAATGACTTTGGAGGCAGGGAGGAGACTGGTGCCACCATAATCCATGGTACCCTAGCAGTGCCTCAGCCTCCTTTCCTTCCATTCTGAAGCATCACACTTTGATGGCTGACACACTTTTCATCACTTTGGCATATCGTTGCTTGGTGTGGATAGTATAGCAGATCAAAGAGACCTTGTTCATCTCAAATTCAGTCTGAAAGGCACATTTCCTTTTCATGGCAGTTGGTGGGCCAGTTTATTGCAAGAGCGGTTGGAGATGGGATTTTACGCAGTAGCTACATAGATGGTTACAAAGGGACTGTGGACTGTGCTCAGGCTCGGTAAGTACTATATGTTGGATAGGTGAATTATGCTTCACAATTACAGATATTTCAATGCTTTATTACCTGCAATTACAGTAAGCAAAGTGCTAGATCAGGTTTACAGAGATCCTTCATTACAAAATTATGAATATGTAATATGCCCCCCACCTACAGCTTGGTATGATAAATACATTGTTTTGCCACCCAAACTATTTTCAGGGAACAGTATTAGACAAACTGATGTGTGATGCAGGAATGATCATACTTGCATGTTGAGGGAACCTCTTCTGATGCTGCAGTGCTGAACTTGACCTGCTTTAAGCTAACATAAACTAACTCAAACATCAACATATGCACAGAGAGTACTTTCAATGTTTAAACAGTGGTGTTATTTCAAGCACTACTTGGGTGCTGTGTTAACTAGAAAAGGAAAGGATTTATCTTCTTGGGAAGATTTGATAAACAAGTCCATTGGTATGTGAGCATTTATTGTTACGTGCTAATAATAGCTTCTTGCTAGCAGAATTATTTTGAGAAATAAATTCAAGTGACTATTGTTTCTCCATTTGCTAAGCTGCATGTGGACCGCATATGGCCCTTAAAGGCTTCCTGTGTGGCCCATGATGGGTGCCCACACTGCCCCACTCCAAAATTCCCACAGCGCAGCTGTTAGCATGAGCATGCTAAAAAAGAGTGTATGTGGGGATGACTGTACTCGTGGTTGTGCTTTCTGAGCAGAATTAGTTTCCCAGCAGGTCTTCAAACAGCTATTGGAAGTCTGATTTAAATGGGGAAAACAGCACACAGAGGGAAACATCTTTTGCATATGTTTTTGATATTGGTGAGGCTTATTTTTTATTGCAGTAATGATTTTTCATGAAGTAGCCACAACTCTTTGCCTTAAGTTAATGCTGAATGTGGTGCTTAGCCCCTATTAATATTAGGCCACTTAGGGTCCAATCCTAATTCTTCTTCTTAACTTTATTTCTACACCACCCAAAAGATGTAGCTCTCTGGGTTGTGTACAACAATTAATAAAGCACAATATGAAATATAATTAACTGTAAAACATAAACGTTCGATAGCATTACCCTGTTTTAAGATGTTAAAATAGCTAAAAACAGGATACTATAGCTCAGCGTAAAGCAGCTGACAGTACCCAACTCCACAAGTGCTATTGTAACCTGTTAAATGCCTAAATCATCGTAACCCAGTGCCAATAGTAAAGTTAGCACCAGGCAAACCTCTGTGGGGAAATCATTCCATCATTTGGGGGCTACTATAGAGAAGGGCATCCTTGTTGCCACGAACTGAGTTTCCCTTGAAGGGACCAGGTGTTGATCATAGTTTTAGGGTAGATTTTAGAAGATGTGTTCTGTCCATTAGTACAACTACAAGTACATAGAGCTTCATAGGTTAAAATCATGCTGGCTGGGGAAAACTGGCAGTTGTGGGCCTTTTTTTGTCTTAACATGCATTGGACTGTATGTTCAATTACAATAAACATCTTAGCACGTACATCATTAATTTTTAGTCTTAACATTAACACCAATTTTCATACTGTGCCTTTGTTCAAGTGTATCACTGTTTACTGTTGCATGAGAGTCTACTTTCCTCCAGTATTGTGTATGTTCTCCTTCCTACTTCTCAGCTTGAAATCAATGTGCGCAAAAGTTTTGTGCTTCTGTTTCATTCGCATCATCAAATTCTAAACTGTGTTTAATCTTAACAGTTTGGTTAATCCTAACTATGGTTAGTAAATATAAACCAGCTTCATAGGCAATTGTTCCAAGTTGGCTTGTTGCCATTAATCATAGTTAAGATTGACCATAATTTGTCCAGTTGCAGATGGTATAACAAATACAGTCAATCAAAACAGAAGCAAAGCTTGTGAACTCCTGCTTGCCACACTGGTTTATAAGAGGTCTGGGAAGCTGAACCCATCCTTATTGTGCTAAATCACAGTTTAGTGTTATATAGAAATCATTCCTGTAGTGTATGGGCTTTAATCATACTGGCAAATATATAGACACTTAAAAGGTTTCTGCTGTTCTGCTATTACAGCTTGTTTCTGTACCTTACCTTTCTCTTCAAAGGGCTGCTTTAGATCGAGCAACGGTACTGCTAAGTATGACCAAAGGTGGGAAACGCATAGACAATGTATGGGGATCAGGAGGTGGGCAGCAGTCTGTGAAGCATCTTGTAAAAGAGGTAACTAATTAAAATATAGTAATTTATTAGTGGCTTTATCAAGCTTATACATCACAAGCCTGGTTCAAGGAGTGTGGCTGTCTTAGCAAGATGTCTTCCATTCTCCTGTCAATCCTCCAAGCAGATGTAATTCTTCCTGCTGCACCATCCTGAGAGGGCAGGCAGGTAGATGTGGAAGCTGTTGCTGCAAAGGTATATTTGCTACCTTTTCTTATTTGCTCACAAGTTTTCTTTAGGCAGCAGTGCTATGCCCAGTCTTTCCTGCTATGCAGATTGGAGGAGAACCTCAGATGTATATTTATCATTGCTGGCTTAGAGATACTTTACAGACATAGAAATAAAATCCTATGTATTAGAAGAGGATTTTAATGCAACTTGTACAGAAAACATATATTGATATTTGCTTGTTTCCAGGTTATCAACAATAGTTGGGCGGTTTATTTTTACAGAAAATAAAACTACTATTGCCAACACATGCTAAAAATTCTATCTTTTTGTGCTTAAGGACTATGTGGCTGTGTATATTATATGCTGGTAGTTTTTTGTTTCTTGCTACTTGTACGCCATGTTTTTTCTGACTTTTCATGATCTTACATTTTAAATGGAAATTGAATGTACATTTCTGCTGCTTGTAGTTTACAGAATTAACACCTAGGCTAATACAGTATTGTATTTTAATCTATTAGATTGATATGCTGTTGAAAGAATACCTCCTTTCAGGAGATGTTTCTGAGGCAGAGCGTTGTCTTCAGGAGTTAGAAGTACCCCATTTTCATCACGAACTTGTATATGAAGTAAGACAACATTAAAACTTGTCTTGATTATAGTTGACATAAGTAACGTAACTGGCACTAGAAGTTCAATCCTTGAGTTACCATACAACAGGCATGATGATCTTTCCACTAGAAGTGGTATACCAAGATGTCTCCTTCAGTAGCATTACAGCTCTTAGGCCAATTCCTTATGTCAGTCTAACTTAAATAATCCATACCTTTTTGTATTATTTACCCATGATTTTTTAAAAAGTTGCTTCCTTCAATGAGTAACTGACTCTAAACTCAAAATGAAGGAAAAATCAGTCGTGCATGTTATCTGTTCATCTCAAAAAAGAATACTTTCATGTCACCTTTCCCTTCCTTTACTTTTTTATTGGTTTTGAATATGTTTATTACATTTTATATGACTTCTAAAAAGATTTCATTTTTTTGAATGAAATAATCACTGACATTTTCTGAGTCTTATTCTTGTACTTTGCTTAACAGTCCCAGCCTGTGCAGGAGTAGCAATATTATATAGGACTGTATAGGACATTGCCAGTCCGCTACTGTTTTTGACCACCTTATGCTATTGGTGTACCACTAGAGGTCGCTTATGGGGGATGGCAGTAAGTGGCAGATAGTGTTACATACAGCACATGATTTTGTTGCTTGCTTAAAATATGTACCTTTTCCATCACTTCAGTGAAGATACAGTTCTTTTGCACTTACATTTTAGGCAGTTGTGATGGTTTTGGAATCAACTGGCGAAACAAATTTTAAAATGATGCTCGACTTGTTGAAATCCCTTTGGAGATCTGCTGTCATTACTACGGACCAAATGAAAAGAGTAAGTGCATCTAATACACTTCTAAGTGTTCCATATTAAAGATCTAGAAAGTGCTTTCCCTTGCCCCCTAGGCAGCACTTAAGTACTTCCAGGGGACCATAGAGAACATCTTGGCTTTACAGATCTGAAGACAGCTGTGTTCTGATCCCTCTGTCACTGCTGGTGAGAAAGGGATCAGAACTGCACTGGCTGCTTCAAAGTTGTAATATCTTACCCTTTGAAGAAAAGGTAAAGCTTTTACATTCAGCGGGTTGAGCTAAGAAGAAACAAGAATCCACTACCATATATCCTGATGGAGTTTCAGTCTCCTTCCCTCCCTGCCCAAAGCACTGCAGTTAGATGGCTAGTAGTGGCCATCTAGCTGATTGGCAGGCAGTAGGAAGTGAATATCACTGCCATGTTCCTTCTGCCCTTCCTATGATGTCAATAATCCTCCCCTTTATTTAATGTGCAATAGTGTGGTATATTTATTTGCGTAACTGATCAGCTCCAGAATTAATTAGGGAACAGAAAAGTCTGGCTTTCTTACACAATTTGAGTGTTTTCCAATGACTTTTTAAAATGAAAAAATAAGACAAACACAGAAACCTACTTTATAAGCCCAAAGTATTTGTCTAATTAGTTCTGTATTGTTTGTTTTAACTGAGAAGGTATTAGGCAGTGATCTTTCTCCCACCTGTTGCCTGATCCTGCCTGTAGTGGTTGGGGGATTTCAACTACTGTACAGTCTAGTGATGAAAACGAAGTATTTTTACATGTAACATGTTTTGACCACCTGCTTGTTTAGAATCATTTATGGCTGCTCAGTTGTCATTAAAATCTTAGTTCTGACTTGAGAAATAATAAATGCCCTCATAATTCTGATGTTGCAGGGTTATGAGAGAGTTTACCGTGAAATCCCAGACATTAATCTTGATGTGCCCCATTCATATTCTGTGCTTGAGAGGTTTGTTGAGGAATGCTTTAGTGCAGGATTGATTTCAAAACCATTACGAGACCTCTGTCCTTTCAGGTATGTACAGTATATATCTCAAAAGTCACTGTGGTACAAGTTAAAAGTGATGCTGACCTAGGTGCTTTGCTAGTAGAGTTCATTACTTTCAGATTGGCAGCTGCATTTTAACATTATTTCTTGAACTGCAGTGCAGCTCTTTTAGAAGCTGCAGTGGAGCTGAATAAAGTGAGTGGGTAGCGGGAGACCTCTAACTTAAACTACTACTTGTTTATATTCTACATGCATATAAATAACTAAGGGGTATGTAATTCATGTCCTTATCTTGTTTGTCTTTATCCTTAGTCCTATAGCCAGTACCAGAAGCATTAGCTTCTTTCCACTTAGGGATGGTTAGGACCAGAGGAAGCGGCAGTTCTTAAATATTTTTATTTTTGTAAAAACTTAATGAAACTTTGATAATTCTTCTACAAGCAACTTTTCCAACAAAACTACAGCTTTGACCCAGGTTACAACAAAAGTTTATTATCTCCATACAATTGTGGACAAAAGTGTTAATTACTGCTAATTCTAGATTCTCAATCTAGTCTTTATTAGGTTTGAAAGGTGTAAGGACTCTTTCATAGCATCTTGATGTTCACTCTTGTACTTTTCCAAAATCCTGTAGGCAGGTCTTTTGTTGCTAACAGAATAAAAGCATGAAAGTCCCATAATTTCCAGTGGGTTTACTTATGTATGGAAAAGCTTGGATCCAACCCCATTATTTATAACTACTATCCACACTGCTTTTTGCTTGTTGTAGCACTTCATTTCTACAGTCCTCATACAGGCAAAATTGAAAGCTTATTGTATCTTTAATTTTAGGGGAAGGAAACGCTTTGTAAGTGAAGGAGATGGTGGCCGCCTGAAAGCTGAGAGCTACTGAATACACGAACCAACTCTTGCAGCTGTATATGTTTAAAGGGAATATATGTGTATATATTCTATAGTAAGAGTTGCTTAGCACAGTTCATTTATTTTTACAAGATGCACTTGTTTGGGGACACAAATAACTTCTGAAAATTTTATAAACTTGCGTTCACAAGGGAGAATAATTCCATTTTCTTTTCTGTATCTATAGTTGGATGGAACAAATAACCATTTTTATGGAGATTGGCTGAAATAAGCTATTTAAGTGCCATATGTTTGACCTAATCATTCCATGTTTTGCATTGATGCCTGCCTGCCACTGCTTTCTTTCAAAGACAGTGTTTTTGAAGTAAAATCACTGGTTTATATAAAGCTTTATAGAATGGGTCAAGTTAAGCTGCTGGAACTCTATTTGGCTGCTACTGTGAAAAAAGGTTATTTGTTTTAAAGAATCTAAGAAATTTAGTTCAATCATAAGATGTATTCATCTTTTTCAGGGAACATAAGTATTTGCTCCTAAACTAGTTCAGCAAATGGTGGCTGGAACATCTATTTTTTTTTCCTACAAAACTGAAAAGGTAAACAGTTTTGATAGAATGTATTGCAAAATAAACTTTTCTGAAGTAAGTAGTTGCCTTGTTTTCTTGTACAATTCTAGCAGTACATGTGTATTGACTTAGACTGATTACTCTTTGTCCTAAAGTAGCCTTACCTTTTACCACTTGGTTATCTACCTAAAGTGTACTTTCAATGGATGGATGAATTTCTATGGTAAGCTGAAGCTGGTTAAGTGCAGAACTGGATGCAACCGCAGCAAGACCCACAGTGTAGACATAGAACTCATCCTCCAATCACATTACTCTGATGGGTTTTCTAAAGAAATCCATTACAGCAGAAAATGGTATTGGTAGGTATCACTTAGGTTAATGCTGCATAATTTATATTAGGACAAGTGTTATATTGAATATTACACTTAGACTGTGCTAGTGACCAGATATAGTTTCACCAATGTTAATGCTAACCTATAGTTAGCTTCAAACTGGTTTGCACCTGTGCTGATAGTTAAAGCTGACAAGCAAATCTTAATTAACATGAATACCAGTGCAGAGAAAGTAGTGATGTGAGATTAGCTCAGAAAAGGAAAATGTGTGCATAAAATGGCATGTCTAAATCAGGAGATTAGGTATATTATGGCTTTACAAAGACATAGCTACTAGTGACTGCTTCCTTCAGAATGCTTGCATAGCTTTTTCCTTCTAGCATTAATGCTTCTAGCTGTATAAAGTAGAATGCACACAAAGCAGTGCAGCTCCCCAGCAGAAGACTATAAAAAGTCCCTATGCACATACTTTATTGATCTTTACTAATACCAGCTTTGAGTCCCAGGAACAGAACGCCTAACAGTCATACCTATGCTTCTCCTCCTAATAGCAGTCAAAGCCTATATAAGTATGAACTAATTAGACAGGGCTTTTAAAACATCCTGCATGCTGATTCTGAGCAGCCTACACTTAATGGAATTAATATTGTGTGCTGAAGTCTGCTCTGTTGCACTTTTGATTAATGTTTTGGAAGAAAGACACTGCAGAATACAGGCAGTCCCTCATTATGAACAAGTTCCTTTCCTGAGACAATGAAAATTCATCTTTAAGTCAAATTGGCACATAAGTTGGATATAGCTGGCCCTCCATATTCATGGGGGTTAGGGACACAGGACCACAACTATCTTTAGGGCCCCTCCCTACTCAAACTTACCAGGGCTGCCTCAAGTGAGGAAATGCCAGAGAGATTTCCTTCCCCAGATGGGTGGGGCAATAACGCCTAGTTTGAAAGCCTCCCTCTCTACCCTTTTACTTCCTCTCTATGGTGATGCTTTAGAGGCCCGCTCTAGCTCCTTTTTTACTTCCCATCTCTCAATGGTGATGACAATTTCCTGCAATAATATTAAATAAGCTTTATGACAGTTTGTTTGCAAGAATGGGTTGTTCATAACTTGGTTGTATGTAACTTAGGGACTACCTGTATAAAAGTATACTAAGACTCCACAAATAATAGGACTGCTGTTACATTCTTAAACCTAAGAGGAACTTGTTAAGCCTGTATGCACAGAAAGACAGCACAATCCTATGCATATTTGCTCAGAATACCTACTTTCCAGTGGGGCTTGCTTCCAGATGAGTGTGTACTGGATGCAGCAGAGAAGCTAAAGAATCAGTAACAGGTAATGCACAACTGACATCTGTTACTATATTTTAAAAGCCACCCCATAACTCAAAGATTTTGAATCTGACTTTTATAAAGATCCCATTGAAGGAAAGCTTATAAATTTACAGGGTTAATTTTCAAGATTGCTATACAATCTGCAATTAAAACACATTGTTATATACATTAACAAAAGAAAAAAGATAACTATTAAAGGAATACAGATTTTGAGCACTGCTGAGCAACTTGTTCCTGCTGTCTAATGGTTTCCTGTGCTTCACGTTGCATTTTTTCAAGTTTTTCCAAGGTAACCGATTTTAAAGGTAGAAGCTTGGGCTTGCACAACACCATAGTAGTCACATCTTCTACTGACAGCATTCCTAAAGCAAGAAGAAAAAGCAAAGTTGACAAAGTATCTGCTCAAGGACATTCGAACTGCTTCAAACACTACAATCTCCTGATGAAACCAACACAACCATTTCTAGATTGTATCAAAGGACAGAAGGTAAGCACTTCCTTTGATAAGTGTGATCTGACACACTTATGATTAAGGCACTGCCACTTGCTTTGTGGCATATAACCTGTTTTGAGACCCAGTGTAGTATAGTGCTGGACTGGGAATTGGGAGATCCAGGTTCTAGTTTCCACTTGCTGCAAAGCTCACAGCGTGACTTTGGACCAGTCATGGACTCTTGCCCTAGCCTACCTTACAGTGTTGTGAGGATAAGACTGAGAGGAGGAGAATTACATAAGCCGCCTTGAGTTCCTTGAAGCAAACAAGGTGGGATATAAATAGAATTAGTGAAAATAATGTGTTGAATAGGAAAATATTATTGCTTCTGTATAAAGCAGGGAAGATCAAAGTCTAAATTTTAGCACTAGACATTCCAAGTAACTGCTGGCACTTTGGCTGAGATGTCATTCACACATTAAAATAACTTTCATGTATTATTCTCTGTCCTTGCTCTGAATAGAATGACAGCATGTACAATTCTCAGTGGCCTCAACTGGAAATATGCTTGAACTCATAACACTTCCAGAAAGGATTTATTCAGTTATTAAAGAGACAAAACAGCCTGAATATGGTCTTTGCCACAGGTACCCTGGAAATCCACCTTCAAAGGCAATATAATGTCTATATACAATAGGGGGTAGTGAAGGAAAAAAAGCATACTGACACTCTCAGGCTTACTGCAAGCAGATACATATACTTTTAGCCTCCTAAAAATAATAATTGGGCAGATACACAATCCAGACAGTGGAAACAGAAGTATGCAGCACCAAATCTAAACTTATCTAAAAGCCATGAAAATAAACAGTTCTGAAGCGAAGTAGCAGACTCGGGGAATTAATCAGGGAATCACTTTGCCTCTAACATAGTGATAAAGTGTGCAGGCAAGAATTTTTCCAGGGCTGTAGCATGAAACAGTTTGTGGTTGCTATTTGCATGTGCCCCTACAATACACCTGTGCATATTTCTTCTGTATGTCTTTTGTTGCTGATCATTGCATTCTAATATTTAGAAGGCTACAGAGAGTAGTAGTAGATCCTGAAAATGTAATAGCATCAATTCAGAAGAACATTGCATTCCCCTAGAAACAAAAATGCACACAGTACAGTTTTCTTAAAAATACTGTATCAGATATTTTATGTCAACAGCTTTAAGTGATTTACCTGCAATGATTTCCTTTATCTTGGTGAGTGATCTATACAGCAGTCATGAACACTTGTCTTTGCTGCTCCTTCTGTTTTTGGTGGATACACTACAGACCAAACTCGGCTACACTGAACTCTATTTCTAATTTTTTTAATGAGACTGCAATTACTTCCTAAAAAAAGATGATTCCCCACAAGTAACCCAGATAGTAGATAAGTTATCCATTGCTACGACTGCATTCATGGGCCAAACAATTTAAAAGCAGGAGCAGAATAGCTTCTCATAAAAATAGGCTGAAGAACACCTGCACATTTAATTAATTAATTACATTTAAAAATACTGCCTTCATAGCTTTCAGGGCTCTCTGGGCAGTTTACAAGAAATGCATAACAATGGTAAAATAAGCAATTACAAACCAGTCAAATACACAAAACTTCTCAACTCATGATTGAGTAAAAAATTAATACATGGCATAGCAGTTCAGATAACAATATTAAAACCAACATAACCTTCAAAACAAATTTTGGTAATAAAAAGGTTCTCACCTGGTGCTGAAAAGAAAAGAACAACAGTGCTAAGTGTACCTCCTTGGAGAGGAGGTTCCAGAGGCAGGGTACAACCACAGAGAAGGCCCTACTCTCACTGCACCCCCCCACCCCCAATTTGGCCTAGTTATATGAAAACTATGGACTTTTAAAAGCTGGGTATCTGCAGATTATGGCATATCTGAGTGCAAGTTGGGAAAGCAACTGCACTCCCTTTCCCCTTCCTGCGAATTGCCATGACAAGGGAACACAAAGATGCAAACTACGAATGGTAGGAAACAGCTGTTTTGAGGTAAAATGTCTAATCTGCATCAGCTAACACCACATTGATGTTTCTCAGACCACTGTACACAAGATTATGGTAGCATATTGTCCTCTTCTTACTGGAAAGAAATGTAAGTAAGTAGTATTTTTCCAACTAGATAATGCTATAATAAATGTGATGGTTGTTTATGTGCTAGAGATTCCTTTTTGTTGCTTGATTACTTAAAGAACAACTGGCAACAATTGAAATCTAAAGTGTAGGACACTCTTCCAAAAAAGACATTTGAGAAATATAGCTACTGTCTTTGCTCAGGTGATAAGGAATTTCCTTATTTCCTGTAATAAGGAAAGCCACTCACCTTGCTTTGGCAATACTTCCCGAAATTTTGATTCAGACATTCTTCAGATGATAATTCTCGCACCATCAATTTAGCACTGCCTCAGATACTGTAACCATCCATCTGCCTATGTCAAAAAGAAAGGGATTATTGTATAGACAGATATTATATTACCACTTGTTCATCTACCCAAAGTTTCCAGAGAGAAGGGTAGGTAAGAACATGACAAAAGCCATGGTGGATCATAGGAAGGGTCCATCTAGAACAGTATTCTGTTCACAGGGCTAAGCAGCTATCTATGTGAGGCTAAGTATGATGTGAGTGCAATGGCGCCCTCCAGCAACTGGTGTACATAGGCACACTGCCTCTGATACTGGAGGCAGCATATAATCATTGTGATGAGTAGGCACTGATATTTTATCTTCCAGTCATAGAACAACAGAGTTGGGCCAAGAAGGCTCTCAGATGGCAATCCAGGTGCATTTTGAATGCCCCCACTGTGGGATAGCCCACAACCTCCCTAAGTAATTAGTTCCATGGTCATATTGCTCTAACAGTCAGGAATTTCTTCCTTATGTTCAGATGAAATGCAGAATCTGGTTTTCTGTAATCTGAGCCTGT